TAAATAGTCTAAAATAATTTTAAAATACAAATTTAAATAATAAATAGTAAGTTTGTGAACCTAATATTGCTCTAGTTTTGACACGCACATATACACCTCTTTTATAAAGGCTACACGGCTTTCAATTTCCTTTGGGCTATATAATTAACCCTCTAATTAGTGTGGGAATCGTGGACTAATAGCAAGCTAAGATTGCATGGATGAGATTAATTACACAGAAACCAAATCAATCAAAAATCAAATTGAGAAATTAATGCGGAGGTTTGTGGTGGTCCCTTTTTTGGAGACTTAGGCCATGTTCTCTCAAGTTCATCTGATTGGAATAATTTCTGATTTGATCTGGTCTGTTTTGATCTGAATGAAGTTATATTTAAAGTAATTTCTGATCTGATCTGGTCTAATCTGATATTGTCTGATTCCAATAAGAATAAATAATAAGTTAACGACTTGGTTCTTACCTATCAAGGGCACCATCTTTTCTCAGTATGAATTCTAAAATTTAATGTTAGAAGAAACGGAAACGAGTGAAAAAAATAAAAAAAAGTTGGAAACTGTTAGAAAAAATAAAGTGTTAAAAAATCAATCAATTAAATGATCACCTAAATAAGTATGTCCGTAAAAAGGACACCGCCCTACTTAAAACCCAACAGGTATTGGCGATTGCATTTTTTTAACAAATTCATTCATTGATGATATGGGAGTGCTCTTTGACATGGTCGTTAATAAAAAGATGTTTTTAAATGTTTACGAGCACTATATGCCCTTGATTTCTTCTTGTCATCCCTATAGATGGGCTTGGCATGCAAATGTAACATATGTCATTGGTAGAATATTGTTCTACTCTTAAGTATCGCCTCATGATTTCTTTAAATATTTCTAGTTGATGAGATATGCTCTAATTGTCTCAAGGTATGTTTGGACTCATTTAGAGATCATGCACCACATTGTAGAGAGGTACTGGGTTTAAGTACATACCTGATTTGGTCAGAGACGTTCTCTTTGATATGTTTTGACCCTCTGTGGATTTAATAGGTGTTTTTGATCCCTTTATGTGGGTTTAGAGACCAGTGGCTTCATGTTTGATTAGACTACGTTAAAAGCTGCATAATGAAAAGTGGCCAAACAAGAAAAGATGTGCATTAAAAACAAACACGTGTACCTCTTTATACAAATTACAATTGATAGCTTTTGTTTTCTCATGCTTGAGCCTGTGGAGTTGCGTAGTCAAGTCTAATGGGTCATATATGTATAGTTATGCAATAACATCTAGATCTATAAATATTGTTTTCAAAAGGCAGTTTTGCTATTCAAAAAGGGGCTAGTAGCATAACTTTTTGCATGTTTGCTTTCCATTTCGATGTATTCCATTTAGATTTAGAATCTTATAACTGTTGTTCAAATTAAACTTAACAATGCCACTCTAATCTCCATGTTAGGGCATGTAGATCATACATCTAGATATATGTACATTCATATCATTTACTTTTCATACTATGTTTTAGATAAATACTCCATCTGTCTCGTAATATTCATCAATTTTTCATTTGGGCACTCAAACCAATTAAGAAAAAAAATAAATAGATAAAATGCCATAAATGCCCCTTTGGTCCTTCACCATAGTCCTCCCTGCTCAGCCTTGAACCAGTTGCCGCACAACCCACCCCAAACCCCCTCACCCCGTGTGTCGCTCAGTCCCCTTCCCCATGGCCAAAGAAGAGCGAGGTATTGAGACAGTGGTGATGTCGTATTCAAGGAGCTAATAAGGATTGGAGGAAAAAATCAACAAAACTAGAAGTGTGACAAGCCCATGCCAACAATGTAACACCCTGTGTTACTCATGCAAACAATGTGCATCTTCTTTACGAGAACTCACCACTTAGAAACTTAAAAGTTAAGCATATAAGATTTGGAGTAGTTCTAGGATGTGTGACCCCTGAAAAGTACAATGAGCACGCACGAGTGAGGATAAAGTGTGTGGGAAAGAGTTGTATTGGTTTGTGGGCTACATTTCTATGAGTAGACACTTCGAGCCAGGTTGGGGATATGATGTTATAGACAATTATCATTTATTTTCCCATCTTGGGCCAAAGCATGGGAGATTAAACACTGACACCAGTAATTTTGATTTGACCTGGCGATGTTGAAGATCGAGGGACTGAAACTAGTTTTCCTATAGATCTATAAATGGAAGGCCTACAAATCTCATTCAATTATTTTTCTACAACCGAATGTTGTTGGGATCTTCACTGCTACAAATAGAACGCCTCCTTCCAAAATCTAAACGTGAGAGAGAGAAAGAGAAAAGGAGAGTAATGGTTGCTCCAACAATTCGTATATGTTTACTTCTCTGCTCCATAAGTCGGGGCACTGATGTAAACACATATCGATTCTCGGAGCACTGAAGTGAATATAGAAAATTGTTTAGAGTATTAATGTCATTTATTGAATCTCAAAGTATTTATGTAAACTCATTTATATTTATTTTTTTATTATAAATATGCTCCTCGTAATAAATATTCATTTTTTATAAAATAATCTATTATTTTTTCTTTTTAAAAAACACTCACATCGAGATGTTAGTGGTATAATATACTATAATATATGGGGACAGAGACTTTCTTATGTTGCACTATAATGTAGCTAGAATTACTTATCTAGCACTGCTAAGGCATTTTTTAACATCAATAGGAGTATCCAACGTGACATTATCTTTATTACGCCCATTCTACCCTTTATTCTTAATTCCTAAAATTATATTAATTTGGGTACCACATTACCTTCCCTTGCTGCTACACTGCCTCCCCCTGCTACCACCACTACCTCCCTCCCCCGCCACCACACTACCACCACCACCATCATACTGCCACCCTTTGCCCCCACACTGCACAACCTCCACAGTGTCTCCATGCGCTTTCACACTGTCTCCTCCTGCCGCCACACTGTCATCATTGCCACCACCACCACCACTGCACCATATTGTCACCACAAATGCCACCCCAGCTACACTACCACCATCACCATTGTCTCTCCCACCACCACACTGCCCCCTGCTGCCACACTATCATCATCACCGCCACCACTACCATCATCACCATCACCACACTGCCGCTAGACCTGGCAATCGGGTCAATCGGTTCGGTTTTGGTTCGGGTCTCATTCGGATATATGTTATAATCGGTTCGGGTCGGTTCAGTTCTGGGTTAATTTTGGGTTGATTGGTTTTCGGTTTCGTTTCGGTTTCGGTTCAGGTTTGTATCGGTTCAAGTTTGTATCGGATCAAGTTTATATCGGTTCGGGTTTATATCGGTTCGAGTTTATATCAATTTGGGTTTGTATCGATTTAGGTTTATATTAGTTCAAATATATATCAAATATTTACTAATAAATCAATAATATCACATAATAAATTTAATCAATTTATGATATACTCCGTAGTTATTTTATTATTTAACACAGACGTACATAAAATTTAATCAATTTCAGGTCTAATCGGTTCCGGGTTTAATCGGGTTCGGGTTTTATCCGTTCGGGTTTAATCGGATTTGGATCTGAATCGGGTCTGAATACATTCGGTTCGGGTTCGGTTCGGGTCATTTCGGGTTTTCGGGTCTATTTCAGTTCTTTAGTTTTCGGGTCAAATCGGATTTGGTTCCGGGTTATTCGGTTCCGGCTATCGGGTCCGGGTCAGTTTTGCCAGGTCTAACTGCCGCCACCCCCCACCATACTTCCAATCCTGCCACCTCATGGCCACTATCCCACTAAAGTATCATTCTCATTACCACATTGCTGTCACGATCACCACCACCATAGTCACACAGCCACCATTGCCACCACACTACCGTCATGAAGAGTTTGAGCGGCACGAATGTGTAAAAAATGCATAAAACTTAACCACTACATTCATGGAAAGAGAAACACTCAACTCCTAAAATTAAGGAAGTCAAAAAATTATTAAAAGGGTATAATTGGAATGCCTTCACGCTGGAATTCTCTTTTAAGTCAAAAAACTAAGGGAGTGCTATTTATGTAATATTGGTAGTTTTTTAGTGCTACCTGGGAGAATTTCGTCAATATATACCGTGTAACGGGTTGTACAGAATTTTTCGTACATCTGCAACGAGTGCTCATTTACGAGTAATTGAATACTCATTCTTGAGTTAGTGAATACTCGTTCTCAAGTAATTGGATACTCATTACTCTAAAACTCAGTGAAGAATGATTAATTTCTATAATTAACAACGGAGGGCTAAGCCTCGTATAAATAGTTACAATAGATCCTAACTACGGAAGGAATCTATACAAGGAAACTACCATGTGTACAAGGATTACTACATTAATATTAAATATATACATACTATATTTAACACTCAGTTATGCTCGAAAATGAGCATTCAGTTACTCAAAAATGAGTATTCTATTACTCGAAAATGAGTTTTAGTTACTCGACAATGAGTATTCTTGCAAATGTACATGAAACACCATACGTCCAAATGTATGGTATATGTACTCTATAATAATATGCCAGGTGTTCTATATAAGATTATTCATTACATGTTCTATATTACTCCCTCTCTTCCCAAAAAATCTTTTTATTGTTATTTATTTTTTGTCAAACTTCAACATTTTTTATTACAATTATACTCCGTATATGATTTAAATAAATAAATGACATACAAATTTGACATATAAAAATTAAATCATAAGATAAACCTAATTATTTTGAATTTGCATTATAATATAATATATTTTGTTACAATTTTTAGTCAAAGAGTAATCATTTGACCAAAAAAATCAAAATATGAAAACTTTCGTGGGATGATACTAATATTAAAAGAAGATGAGCCCCATCCATGAGGACCCTCTCAGCAGAATTGTCCCCAACTTAGCTGTCACGAATCGAGCTCGTACTTATGCTCTTGACACTTCAATTCCTATCTTTGTCAATTGCGCAACGCACACTGGATGGTTGTACTATATATAGACTATAAATATAGTGGACTAATGACAATTTTTTCTTTATAAAGATAGAACAAATTATTACCGCCCTAGAACTTCAAATCAAATCTTGCAGATTCAAAAAAACACGCACATTTCCAATCTAGCTAATGACAAAAATGGGCAGCAGCACAAGAAACAAGTCCAAAATTGCAGGCCTTTTTCTGATATCCACTCTTCTTCTCATCATCACCCCTCTCTTGTCTTATTCAACACTCTGCCTCTACTTTGTTGTCAACCTCGTCATCGTTTACCTCGGTGCTGAAGCTGGCCTTCTCTCCTTCCCGGAGCAAAGCCTTCCGCCGCCCCTTGAAAACCCGCCTATTGCCACCGCCGCCGCCAGAGATCCCGATCAAGAAAAGAGAATCATTCATGAAGAGGCCAACAAGAAAGTGGAGGAGAAATGCCGCCCTTTAACGCCAAGCTTGTTTTTCATTGGTACTTGTGATGATGGTGATGATGATGATGACGAGGTCGTTGAAAAAGAAGAAGAAGATGATGATGATGAAGAAGAAGTTATTAATGGAGAAGAGTTATTTCGTAGAGCTGAGACATTCATTGGGGAGTTCTATAAACAGCTGAGGATGCAGAGAGAAGATCGAGTCTCTTGGGAATAATACACTCACTTCCTCACAAAATAAGGTTTACATTTGAATTTTAACAATCTTTAATACGATACTTTAATTTAATATCTATATTTAAATATGTGTTTTTCAATTACACGCCAGCCCTCCAGATGAGGTCCGTTTGACAGTAAACATTAAAAGCTAAATAGAATACTAGTTCCATATAATACGAGTAAATTGCGCTAGGTACAACAACTTTGTATTATATGGAGCTAGTACTTCATTTAGCTTTTAACGTTTACTATCAAAAGAACCTCATCTAGAGGGCTGGCGTGTATTTGAAAGACTACTTATGGACTTTTGAAATTTGAATGATCAATCGTGCATAACTCATAAAGTTGAAAGACTATTTATGAATTTTTGAAACTTGAAGAACTAATCGTACACAACTCATAAAGTTGAAGAACCAATAGTAGAGTTTAGCCTGAATAAATTTAGTAGCAATATAATTTAGTATTTTAGAATTACCTTTCAAGAAAAATCAAATAAATCATATATACTCCTTCCGTCCAAATCAATATTCGCATATGACATTTAATAGTCTTCAATAATAGACTTTGACCGTTAATGTTTGAAGAATTGATCCAATATAAGAGTAAAGTATCATCAAAATATCAAAATAGAATTGCATTGATTTATCCTCTAAATAAGAGTTTGAAAGTCTAAATGATGGCAATGTGATGTTAATAGAGAAATGTAAATAATACGTGGCATGGAAATGCGTGACAGTGAAGTGTGTTGGACCACCGACCAACGGTGGTCTACACCAGCAACCCACGGCGGACCTATGGTGGTAACGTGGCATGGAAATGTAGCACTCACTGTGTAGTATGTTAATGTGAACTCCTATTTAAGTCACAAAATAATACTTGTACTATTTGGATATTTTTGTCATTTTTTACTCCTATTTGGGTACTTCTACCTAATATCTATTTTTATACATTATTTTTTCCCAAAATATGACATTTTAAAATTTCGTTTCAAGATAATTCAAATGATATTAATATACAGTATTATTCAATATAGTTTTTCAAATTTTATAGTCAAAAGTTTTTAATTTTAATCACAAAAGGTCAAATTAGAACATTATGTTTAATTTAGACAGAGGAAGTATTAAACATTCCCTCTGATATTCTGGCTTGTCGATATATAACTTTGTTTACTTTTGTGTTTTAATTGATTATTTGATAAGATAAAATATTTATGTCATCTTTTGTTTTAAAGAATTTTTTATATACTACGCCATTTTTTTAATACTCCCTCCATCCCACTTTAAAATACGTATTTCAATTTATGATGTTTGGCTGAAGACACTTTCAAATAATCAATTTATAAAAATTATATTTTTTTTTATCAAATAACTAACGAAAACTGATAAAAAAACTGAATAATGTTTTGACTTGTGAATAGTACTCTTGTTTACGTTGGAACATATGAAGTACGGAGTATATAAATAATACTCCGTATTTTTTATTTCTATACAAATTTATAAATGAAATAAATTTAAATGACACATAATCTTACACCCGATTCAAAGAGTAATTAATTTTTTATAAAACAAAGTTTCTATACGTCTATGAATCATGTTGTTATTGGAAATATGTCACATACTCACGTGTAAGAATGTACATTATTATAGATATGAGTGAAAGATCTTTACTACACATTCTCATTATCAAATATGAAACCCTGATATTATAAAGGATCAATTATAAAGTTTATTCTTATTTATTTATTTATATGATCAAACTTTTATTCATTCGGGATCGATACGATACCGATTTTATCCATGCTTCACCCTCATATTTGATACGATCCATGTTTTACCAATTCAACCCTAGTTTGGTCCTACTAACATATTCCGACATTTATCCTTGAGTGACGTCTAACAAACTTCAGCGTATGTCTTTCATAAAGAGCATAGAAACATGCTAAGCCACAAACGTCCCCTCATACATCAATATAGTTGATCTAGGCATAAATTCAATTAAAAGTGCAAATTATATTTAATGACCATTTCAAAAATAAAAATTTTTGTAAGAATGACTTGACAAAAAAATATTACGAGAACCAAAAACAAAAAACACCTACTTTACAAACTACAGAGACTAAAAATATATTTAACACTAATAATAATAATAATTAAAATATGAGTAAATTTTGCACAATGTACCGTAAATACAGTATAATAAATGCAATTGCAATGGCAAATATTCTTTCTAGAAGAATGCATGCAGGATTCAACATTCTTCAGCGTTTCAAGAAAACAATATAGTAGAACACATGCAAGAAATTGGCTTTTAGAAAAAATAGAATGGAAAGTGTGACTAAATCTGAAGTAGGGATGTGTTCGAGTCGCAGCTGATAATTCATAGCAATTATAAAATCCTGCAAAACTTTGGGGATCAGTACATTTATTCTTCTTGCTCAGGATCTGAGTAAAATCAACTCGGGAATGTACGAAAAAACCGAACACGAAACTTGGGAACAGATTTATATATCAAGTAGCAAGCGACGAGGGTCTTCCACCACATCTTTTATCCTCTTCAAAAAGAACACTGCCTCTCTCCCATCGATCAGCCTGTGATCGTACGTCAAGGCAATGTACATCATCGGTCTGGAAACAATGTTGCCCCCAACAACCATTGGACGGTTCACGATTGAATGCATGCCCAGGATGGCCGACTGCAATTAAGGGACTTGAGAGTGTTAGTTAGTGCACATTGTGTGAGTTCAAAGACTTCAAATCCCAATTTTGGCCATGGCCGGGCCAATAGTAGCAATAAGTATAAAGTCGTGCACCAGAAATGGAAAAATGAAACTTGATAACCAAAAGTAGAAACGAGCACCGTATCTGAGCAAAATAATCTATGAGGATGAATATTTATACCTGAGGGGGGTTTATTATGGGGGTACTCAGAAGACTTCCATAAACACCACCGTTTGATATTGTGAAAGACCCACCAGCCATCTCATCAATTGATATAGTTCCATCATTTGCCTTTTTAGCCAGTGCATTAATTGTCTTCTCAATCTCAGCAAAATTCATATTGCCAGCTTCACGGATAACTGGCACAACAAGGCCCTGAGCAAGTTTTAAAAAAAGAGAGATGGATTTACACATGAATTATGAAAATCTCATAAGCAACTTATATATTTGAAATATTTGTAACTTGCCTTTGGGGTGCCAACAGCAATACTGATGTCTATGTAGTCTCTATATATGATGTCATCACCATCAATAACTGCATTAACTATTGGCTGATTCTGTAGTGCGCTGACCGCAGCCTGAAATTTGTGTTTACCAAATATTAGGTGTTTAGGACTGGAACTACAAGGTGTGCAATACATAAGATCAAAGACGACCCCCCTAAATACCTTGACAAATCCAGACATAAGACCTAACTTCACCCCATGCTTTTCAACAAAAGCATCCTTGTAATCAGAACGGAGTTTCATCAAATTTGTCCTGTAAATGAGCAGGCAGATGAGAATCACTGCTAGAGGCCACATATAGAATAAACTTCAGAAAAGTAATAATACAATGCAAAGCCTATGGCATAATGGACAGGCCCAGCACTCTTCTCTTTTGTTTTATTCCAACAGATCAAGCTATCTAATAGCCTTTCTAGCAGTATTCAATGTTTTGAAGAACCATAACTTAATCTATTTGAAATTCTAAAACATGCCGATTCTTCAGATGAGGGCATAAAGATGATTTCTAATCCATATTTCATTCTTTTAGTCCAACACTCTTGTTTCCACATTTCATTTGAGACAATAGTCCATTAACATTTCAGATTTTATTGTTTTGTGTCAGGCAGCCAAGGCTTATCTTTTGAAACACTTAAGTATGACTTATTTAATTGGTGATATGCCTTAGAAGCGTAATAGTTTTATTTTGTGAAGGAAATCACTATAAAGTATGATGCATATCAACCCCACCTTGAGGCTTACACCTCACCTCACAAATGGAAAATACTTCCTCCCATCACAAATGGAAAACACCTCCCCTCACAAACGGAAAATACCCCATCCTCTCACAAATGGAAAACGGCTCAAAGCTTAAAAGCATCTTTTTTTAATTTTGAAATAAAGGTTGAAACTAGACAAATTTTAATTTTCAAGCCACAAAATACATGTTCTAAACTTACATGTCAACTTCATTGAAAGTTGTCAGCAATGCAAATGTGTTTTGTGAGTCCTTCAAACGAGTAGCAACTCTTTTTCTGAGCCTGGTCATAGGAACCTGCCAATTGCAATATAATTGACAAATGCAATCAAATGTGGTTAGCCAACTAGGTTTGCGAATTATATAAAATGGACAGGCACAATAGAGTTTTAATGCTAACTCGTCTTTCTCTATCTTTAGGAGGAAGCTGAGGTTCTGTAGCTGAGATTTTGGGGGGAGGAGTTTTAGTTTCCTTAACAGGAAGAGGTTCAGCTTTTGGCTTGGATTTCTCTTTCTGTTTATCAATGGAAGAAGATGGCGGCAGGGCATCTTTCCCAGATAGCTTCTCAGATGGAGCAACATGATTCACACCTTCAGCAGATTTTGAAATGATAGCAACCTTGGTACCTGGTTCTACAGTATCCCCCTCCTTGGCTACAAACTAATTGAATAAAAAAGGAAAATGAATTACGACAAAAAACTCCAAGGTTGGCTACTAAGTTTAAGACAACAGAAAGTGGCATGCAGCCACACAGATTAAGGAAGAGTAGAATTCTGTGGTTGACTATTCAAATGTAAAATATGAAGGACTTTGAACAAGACATACATGACCAACTATTGTACGAAAATATGAGACAAACATTTGGTAGGCCACAACAGAAAAATGAGAAAAACATACAAGGACATAGGAAGTATTAAACTTGGAAATAAATAATTAAATTAATTCATAAATATAAATTTCATTATACCTCCTGTATTACACCAGCTTCGGGACTAGTAACATCAATTGTTACCTGAAGGCCAAGAAGAGTAAAAAAATTGTATAAATAATCGAACAGAGAAGTCATATCGCGTGAACAATAAACAGACCTCTAAAGCGTAGACTCAGAAGTTAAAAAAAGTACCTTATCCGTTTCAACCTGGGCAATTGCCTCATCAACCTCTACTCTATCCCCGGGTTCTGATCATTAAAAATTAGAGGAAATAGAGGTT